AACTTCAGGTGCAAAAACCAGACAGGTGGAAAGATGGAAATGTTAAAGCAATGAGGATGGAGGGAAGAAAAAAAATACACACAGCTCACCTATCTGATGTTGAACCCAAACATTTGCCAGCTCTGTTTGGGAGACACAGAGGAAAAGCATCACCAAACCGAAACACATGATGGCCAGAAGAAGACACAAAAAATAAAATAAAAGCTTTTGTGTCAGCTCCCTTCTTATTCTCCCTCCTCTTCCTCTCTTTGCAAAAACAAGTTTTCTCTGAATTCCTCTTCCTCCCTCCAAATCTCTCTCTCTCTCTCTCTCTCTCTCTCTCTCTCTCTCTCTCTCTCTCACCACAAACCACCCATGTTTTTAACTGAAGACACAAGGATGAGTGGATTAGGCTTTAGAGCAGAAAGGGGAAATGTTATCATCTGCACATGTTACAAGCCTGCATAATGAGTTACAATATTTTTTTTATTTTAGAACATTATGCAATGTTTCATTGATTGCGATTCAAACATCCAACCATCCACTGGGCGTTTGACTGTCAGCAGTGTGAAATGTGACATCTTAGATTAGACACGGTGATCATGATTCTAACAATGCTCAGGGCTGAACTCAGGGCTAGTTATGATATTACTCATTCCATGTCAAGTCTGTTTATGGTTCCCCAAAACATTGTGTCTCTACTCTTAACAACAATATGCGGCCCACATGGAACAGAAAAGTCTCCCTGCCGCAGTTTAATTTCCAGCAGTTATGTAAAAGCCTTGTTTTTTATGGGATGTAAAACTGACAAAAAGCGAACTTTACACAAGCACGGTGGCTGACTCATTTCTATCTGCTCTCAGAGCAAACACGGAATCCTTGGCAAAAAAAAGGCAGCTGAGCGTTTATTGGATTCACAGCTGGAAAGGCAATCGGCACCCTATTTCATAATACAGACCATAAACACAACGTGCATTTGGCCCAGCAGCAGGTGTGGATTCTGTGGAGAGGTTTAAACAAACACAGAGGTTGTAATAACTATCATTGTCACATCTTTTATATTTCCCTCTTCTGTGAAAATGAAGATGCTGTACTTACTGAGCACAACGCTCGGATCGCTTGTTCTGTCATGAATTGCACTGATGAGGTGAATCCAGGTAAAAGCCAATATCTGGATAAGGAGAGGCAGATTAGTGAGGAAAAAAGGAAAGGAGTCATAACAGAGTTCTACCTTACTGTATAGAGACCTATCATGATTCGACTACGATTATTTCATCAACATGCACATTCTTTAATTTCTATCAGTAAGAGATAAATCACATTTCTTTTAGATAATTAGGGTCCAAGCACATTTCAAAGTCACTAACTCTACAGTGGAAGTCTATAGCGACCACAATCTATTGTTCAGGCATTGTATTATCTGCTTCTCTTCATTCAGTGCTACATTTGGGCACCAGATGTTCTCAAATAAATTATTTTCAAAATCATGGTCTGCACATCTCTCTATTACTATAATAATAACAATACACTTTTAGTGTGGATCCAACGCTCTGTAGTATATTTGAGACTGCTCCAGAACAGGTTAGGTGTGCAGCATTAATTACCAATCTACCCCGCTAAGAAGTGAACCACCGCCGTAGGACCGTAAAACCGCAGGGTTAACCCTGAAATGACTTGCTAATCCCAAATCCTGCTCCATAGCACAGGGCTCTGGTTGGGTCTGCAGCAGCAAGTTGGCATGGCAATATGGCCAGGTTAAAAGAGAACCGCTTTCACAACATCGAAAACTGTCTTTAGGCTCAACACACACACACACACACACACACACACACACACACACACACACACACTGCTGGTGCCTCAGAGATGCTGGTAGGTAGTGAGCCAGGCTGGCTGTTTCCCACTGCTGGTTCCAGCTTCATACATGCTGCACAGCTGTGAGAGCTTATCTATCTTGTTTCTTTAATCATGACCTAAGTCTTTTTGTAAACTTCAGCAGTTTTAGTGAACCAAACCAAGGAGCTGGCAGAATATAGGAGTCATTTTCAGTTTATTTTTGAAACCACTGATAAACAGCTTTTTTTCACCTTTGAACCGTTTGTTGTTTAAAAGTAGAGGAACTTGTAAGCTGATAGAATAAAATGAATAAATATATAAAGTAGCAGATTCTTTAAAAAACGAGTCCAGTAGAGACCCAACACAAGAGGAATGCTTTGTCATCAACTCAACGGTACGAAAAAAAAATACAACAAAACAGGCAAACATTTATTTATATTTGTTCGAGCTCAGTTTCATACCTCAGATTGATCCTATTTGAAAGTTTCAGCTTCTCAAGTTCTTGTTGGAGAACTTCACTTTTATCTTTCTCAACCTGGATCTCTGCTGAGAACTTTTCTTGATAGTCGATCAAGAAAAGTTCTCAGCAGAGATCCAGTGAGCCGCTTTGAGCTCCCTCACTTCTTCGTGCAGGGTGCTGTTTTTCTCCTCTAGGAGCTTATTTGTCTCCGCTTGTTTCTGGAGAGAGTCTCTTTCGATCACCTGTCTCTCCAGTTCGGTGGTAAGCTGCTTCACCGTCTCCTCCTGACAACCACTGAGAGTTTCAGCAATTTGCAGCTTAGCCTTCATCTCCTCCACCTCATTTTCAAGAGCCTCCTTCTCCTTCTCCTGCTCTCTGATCTTGTCCTGGTGCTCTTCTCTGAGCTGGCTGAGTTCAGTTCGGAGGCCCTGACCGACCTCGTCCTCTGCCTGGAGCTTAGTGACCAGCTCCTGGTTGTTTGAGACCTGTTCATCTTTCAGGTCCTCCAAGTCTTTGAAAAACATCTTCTCTTTCTCAGAGGCGGTTATCTGTAGGGTCTGGATCTCCTCCTTCATCTGCTGAACCAGAGCATCCTTCTCAGCCATCAGCTGCTTTGTGGCCTCCAGGTCCTCTGACTTCTTTCATGCTTTCAAGCTTGAGCTCATCTTCATTGCTCAGGTTGGGCTGATGTTGAAGTTTGAGCTGTTTAAGTTGTTGCTGGAGAGCTGCATTGTGTTCTCTCTCAAGCTGGAGCTCGGCTGAGAACTTCTGCTGGCTGATGATTTGAGACACTTCAAGGTCCTCATAGTCCTTTTCAAGCACCTTCTTCTTCTTTGTTTTGGTGGTGCTCTGAACTTCAGTGGCGATCCTAAAGGTGAGCATGGTCTCTGGGTCACTGGCCCTCTTAAGCATCTCCAGTTCATCACGCGTGGCCTTTTCTTTGTTAGTGAAGATTTCTTTCAGGCTCTTCTGACGGGCCACCTGCTCTCTAGCCTCCTCCAGTTCTTTGAGGAGCTCCTTCCTTCCTTGGCTCAGACTTTATGTAGAACACAAGCTGACCCGTATATAGATAGTTTGTTGTCCAGCTCTGTCCTGTATATAATAGCTATAGGTTTAAGTGTGCTTGAATTTGTTCTGCTTGATATTTTTGTTTAGCTGTATGTCCATATTTGCTTCATCCTTGATATGTGTCAACATATATACTTGGTCAATAAAGGTAATTCTGATTTCCCATATTGTCAGTGAAAGAAGATACGTATTTAGCTCTAAAAAAAAGAAAATGGCAACTCAACAAACATCAAGCACCCCTCATTTACACAATTACAGTTAATATCAATATGGCTGTCCCTAAAGACATAAATCCACCTCAAGTGATGTTAGTTTGATGATGGAGCTAATTGGAATTACTTTGTATAGCCTACTGCTGGGTTACTAACCTATAATATATTAGTTGATTTCATATTTGTATCAATAATCCAAATTTGCAAAGGAAATAGAAACTAAATGTGTCATACAAATGTAACGTTGGTGGATTAAAAAGTGCAATATTTACCTCTGAGATGTAGTGGAGTAACTTGGAAGTATGTAGCGTTGGAAGCATAAAATGGAAATACTCGGGTTAAGTACAGCAAAGTTACTTTAAAATTGTACCAAAGTAAGTCTGGCTATAGTCTAACTGTACTTAGTTATATTCCACCACTGCATTTAGGTAAACTGTGCTTCTCCTAACCTTAACCTAAATACTAAACCTTGTTTAATACCATGATGTCCGTGAGATCAAAACCTAACACAAGTCTCTTTTTGTACCTAAACCTAAGCAAAGCGTTGTCACATCATAAAATGGATTGTATAGTTGTCAACAATCAATAATAACGATTATGGCAGGCGCAAAACAAATGACGTCACCCTTCCGACAATGGCGACAGATTAGAGAGCGTTTTGTGTTTCGTGTATTTTGTGTGTTAACGTACAACCACGAACGACGCATTTCTTTTGCTCTAACTTGACTGTAAGATAACAGCTCGGTCTGTGGGTACATGTAGCCACAAATGTAGCCTCGTTTCTCCACCTAGTGGACAGAATAACCTCGTGCCTGTGAAAATACAAGTGAAATCCTGCGCGACTGGCGACATAATCTAATCGTATTGAACCAAATGTAAATAACCACTGCCTGGTGTGGTGTGAGTCAATAATAATATTGTCCACACTGCTTTTGAGACATCGTAGGGGGTATAGCTCAGTGGTAGAGCATTTGACTGCAGATCAAGAGGTCCCCGGTTCAAATCCGGATGCCCCCTCTTTTTTTATTTCTGTTTTATTGAAATCTACCTTCCAGAGAAGTAGGCAGACTGTTTAAGAGACATGACGTTAAGTTTATTTCCGCTATAAAATAACCTTTCAGCTGGACTTAGGCCTTATCCATTATAATAGGCAGAAAAATTAATATTTAACAGCGTATGCTTCAGTATTGCTGCTACAAACTAATTTTCCCCTGGGGATAAATACAGTTTATATCTATCTATCTATCTATCTATTTAGTATCTAGCCTAACATCCTCCAGTATAAAAAAAAACTACAACATAATATAATATATTTTGTGCTGCTGCACAAACTGCTGTGAATGAGTGTTGGCACACAGCATATATTTTTGTCATTGCTGTTTCTGTGTGTACTAAAGATATAATCTTTTAAAAAAAAACCCTCACTTGTTGAAACAAAGAATATCACAGCTGGACAATTTATTTATTTTTACATTACACAATATAATACATACTTTCAAAATAAGAATCAGTCCTTAGCAGCTTGCTCTTTTCCCTAATCAGGAATTTCCTGTAATATACAGTAAATAGTTAAAGAGCTTTGTTTTCTTAAAATAAATTACTAAACATGTTTAGGTCTTGTTGTTCATAGTATAAAATATCAGGTGTAGTCTTGTAGCCCAACATTGCAGAGTTTCTGAGGCCATGATAGAGGATTAAGCTTTTAAAGCAACTAAACTCAGTTTGTCACTGGAAAGCTGTTTTTATAACCAGTGAGGTATTAAATTCAGTTGCAGCAGAAATAGTTAAGGTAAAAAAAGAAAGATAGTCATCAGTGACAAGAATCACCAAACAAAGGACAAAATGAGATCATGATCGTCATGCTCAAAACTTAATGTGTAGGCACCGGAGCAATGAGCGGGCACCAGATTAGCATAATCAGACAACACTTTACCCGGGAAACATATGTTTTAGTGCCTCAAATGTAGGTTGTAACATCTTTGGTACAACATAGTCAGTTCTAACAATTATTGAATGAATGATACTTTAATTACTGCTTTGCAGTTCAATAAAGTAAGATGTTGTCCCGGGATTAACCCTTCGTGAAAAGAAAGAATCCCATTGAGACCTGAGTGGAGAGTGAGATCATTGCTCTGGTAGGATGTTTAACGAGCATGGTGCACACTAAACACTCTGGCGTACATCTTCATAACCATAAACTGAGAAAAACTTCTGCAGCTAAACCAGATCATTAAAACATAACCGAGCGGTTCTTGAACAGTGCAAAAGTCATCGTTAGCCAAATCTTGAGATCACCCATGTTTCTCCGTTGCCCGTCCACCCTGAGGCCTCACACAGCTGGGTAAGACACAGTGTAGGTGTGGCGAGGCAGGCTCTAGCACACGACGCCACGCTCACATGACTTTCCCTCCCATAACAGTGAAAATAATCCTGACACGATGGCTTCTGCGGTGCCTCTCGAGTTTGGTTCAGTTTGAGGAGGTTTGTTCCACTGTGTCTGAGCGCGTTCTAGTTCGCGACAACCCGAGACTTCATCCAGTCCAGACTGGCAGGTAGACTGGGAGAGAGGGAAGAGAACAAAACGGAAGCATTTTGAGTCATTATAGCGGGAGTTGATGTTGGTAAAGGCATTTTTTTGGGGTTGACTCATACACAGTTAGGAAGGTGTGAAGACTCACCCTTCTCCTGTCAGGGCGCAGCAAGCTTGAACATGCCAGGAGTGCGATGAGAGGGATTCGAGTGTGAGGCACTGGGAGATCTCTGCCGCCGTCATCGAGCCATTCACGTCCTGCTTGTTGGCCAGAATAAGAACGGCTGCTTTCTCTAGGTCCTAAAACAAGAGAGGGCGGGTTAATAATGTTGCTTTCTGTATCGATTGATATTCAAAGAGCTGGAATGTTTCCATTGGAAACCCCCAAAGAGTCCCAGCTTCAACTTTTTGAGAACAAGGTACAGCAACCTCAGTGGAATATTTCGGCACACGTCAACCCGCTGACACACACAGTCTGAGTTGAGACTTCCTCATCATGTTGTGTCATGGGTTTGTTCCATGTGCCGCTTAGTTAGTCACTCTGAAAGCAGGAGTGCATCTCAGACGTCACACGAATAGATGACTTGGGCAGTTTCACTGAATAACAAAAGGGTTTTACGTCACTTCACGTAAAGCCAATCCTGCTGCGACTATGTTCGGCATTCAAGTGCTGTATATGTGCAATTTGTGTTATTATAGGTTAAGATAAGATAAAACGTTTTTGATTCCTGGGGAGAAATTCACAAGTTACCCAGCGGTGTATAAAGTAATTGAAACTAGCTTCACCTTTACCAGCTGCAACATTAAAGCGATGAACACATTAATGCATCAATAATTATAATCCAGTAACAGACATTATTCTGATTTCTACACCATTATATTTTACCAAAATAAAAGATCTGAGAACAATGTGATCTGTGCTGTAGTCTGGTCTACGGTAAAGAGTGAGTCGTGGTAAAACATGGGGACCATCAGGATTATAACTCTTGAATTAACACACAGCCATCAGCACAGCAGGATTTGTACCTCGTGTGCGAGCATTCGGTGCAGTTCTTCCTTGGTGAGCGTGAGACGTTCGCGGTCGGTGCTGTCCACTACCACAATGACAATCTGAAAGAGCCACGACACACAACTGAATCAGTGAATAGCAACACAATCGACAGATATCTCATATTTTCAGTGTCCGTGTTATCAGTTGTAGTGATAGCATGGGCACAAGATATCTGCTACAGACATATTTATTATAAATGATAATGTAACGCTAATGATAAGTAACTTTGTCAATACAGAAAGCAGTCCTAGGATAAAAAGAACATGGGTTAATGGACAATGGCCCAGTCAGCGCAAGCCAATAAATGCTTTGTGTTTCTGACTTCCCTCTCCAATATTTCACAACTACCAGTGTCAACAAAGCTATATTATATTTTAATGATAAATTATTTTTTTAAGCCAAGAAAGCTAGATTTTCTGGAGTTTTCTGGGGAACCAAAAACCAAGAAACTTTATCTTAATCAAAACATGAGATAAAAGCATCAGTAAAACATAATGTTTCTGACTTTTATGATATATTTTAACTAATGAAATGCGTTTCAGTGCTTGTGCTGCACATGCAGCTGAGCTGAAGACAAGAAGTGATCCGTACCTCTGTGTTGCCGTAGTACGAGTACCAGCTGGCTCGAAGGCTCTCCTGTCCTCCGATATCCCAAACCAAGAAGTGTGTTTTACGTACGACGATCTCCTCAACGTTGCTGCCGATGGTTGGTGACGTGTGGACGGCTTCCTTTGTCAGACTGTGTGTACGTGGGGGGAAAAAAACATTATAAATACAGATGTGAAGCACATTTTATTATGTTTTTGCCACAGAAAGTAGCCAAATCACTTACAACTGATAGAGGATGGTGGTCTTTCCAGCATTGTCCAAACCCACAATGATGACTTTGTGCTCTGTAGGAAAGTAAAAAAACACATTTAACCATAAAAGTGCAAACTGGATTTGTTGTTATTCTCATCTGAACCAACTCCAATCTCGAGTTGCATAACTTGTTTCAGGGCTTCACAAGACACAATGTACACACAGATAAGATAACGGCCAGTACAGGACTGAGATGAACTGAGCAGAATAACATTTGTTATCCAAAGTGAGGTTATTACATCACTAGGCCTCATGTAATGTTCATAAACTGTTGTTAGTTTGACTGTAAGTCAGTCACAATAAAATGAAATGTATATGTAAAGTGATACAAGGGAATAATACTTTATATCGTCACTATTTGTCTATTTACAACATATAACTTACTGAAATGTTGTTTTCATTTCATTTAACCCATCCTAATATTAGAAGCAGTGGGAATCTATTCAGAGACCAGTTTGGGGGTCCTGGTGCCCTGCTCAAGGGTACCGAGAGGCGACCAGGCACCTCTCCAGTGCACCGAACCGAAGACCGTCCGGTTTCAATGTGGGCTCAAAATGCTTGAACGGCATCTTACAGACAACAGAGATGACGAAACTGACACCAGTGTGAAAAAAAATAACTTAATCTTACCTCTGTCCCCGAACACCGCCATCATCTTGGTCAGAATAAACCCCATGTCCAACAAGTGTGTGTGTGAACAAAGTCCAGGAGACGCTCAGTGGAGACGCACTTCAGTATCTGTTACCTGCTGAATGCCACGCAAACTCTAATTCCTTTATCTGATATCGCTTTCTACTTGTGCATAGCGTTAGTGGGTGGCGCTTCTCAGAAAGTCTTTAGTATTTTGCATTGGAATGAGTCACGGACAAAGGGCATAGTTATGGTGCGTTCAGGTCCTGTGGGAAATGTCTGAATACGCACGTGAGGGGTCCTAAACACGGCATTATTAGGTAGCTACACAAGGCTAAAAGCCACGAAGTCTAACAATAAGTTGTACCTTCCAGAAAGCTATATTGATATGTAATAGTATTCATATTAAATGTGGAGGTTGTTTATGATATTTATAAAGAGCAACCCAGAGGCTAAGTCAGCTGTTTATGGTAAAAGTGACCCACTATGCATAAAGGCATAGCAATTCAAATCGAGAGTGGAAACCTGCCATCTCTTTTCAATTTATTAATATTTAAATACACTTATTAATTAAACAACAAAAATTGAGTTTTTAATATGTCTTGTGCCGCTAAAGGTTTATTTAAATAAACGTTTTAATTCTCAATGATAAGTGTTATTGATAGGCTCCAAAACATTACTGATTGTCAGTGGTGGAAGAAGAGAATGAAAGAAGGAGTGCAGGGAAATGAATATGTCAGTGTTCTCCATTGACGTGATTACAAGGTAGGGCAGAACCTGCAGGAGAGGACTCCCCAATTATAAATGTCTGCTTCATGTTATGACATGTCTTGGACAAATCAGTACAATTCTAAAATAGGATTATTTCTCTGAAATGAATGGAAAGCGCTCATTTGTAGATGAAACATATCTAAAAACTAAAATTATGCTTGGACTGTGCTACCGGTTTTCCAAAGCAAAATAAAATGTTTCAAGAATACAAACCATAGTTTAGCCCTCGCAGCTCAGCCGTCGGAGTTCATTCAGGAGCACTTGAAGGTGACATACGACACAGGCGTTCCTCCAGTTACACCGACGACAGGAGTGGACTGATGACGCAACTATGACACACAGGGCCAGACCATGTATGGAAAGAGAAGTAACACTATGTTTCGTCTGTTCCTCTGTAGCACTGCGACTTTATTATGAGCCAACAGAAAGCAAAACTGAGTTAAAGAGGAATCTCCTGGGATTTCCAACTCGGTCATGTTCAGACAATACCCACCAAATTCAAAATAATAAATAGATAATATGATATATATGTAATAATAATATCTATTTTTTAATTATTATTTTTACTGGAGTTTGGAGGTTTTAACGTCATGTTTTGTCCTGTTAAATGCTCAGAATCAAACGTGACATGCACCTTTTACATTACTTAATTTATTTAACACTATATCTAATAAACAATCAGTCTCTAAATCAAGTATATGTTAAAGATTAGTTCATGGACTAAACTGCCCAACGGCATATAAAGTAGAGAACATTAGCTGGATACTTATTCCACAACTGAAGTGTTGAAGCTTATCTGGTATATTTCAGTACTCTCTGGGCTCTTGACTTCTCACATTGTTCAATAATTGTGATGCAATGCTCACAGTTAGGTTTCAAACGGAAACCATGTCCTCATTTGTGACATGTCCTCCACTGCAGTTGATGAGATGATAAAAACAATGAATACGAGAAATAAAAAACCACATCCTGGATGCAGCTGCACTTTAACTAAAGTCTTTTTCCTATTGTGCTTCCTCCATGACCGAAAGACCTAGCAGGTGTGATCAAATGTCCTGCAATTAGAGAGGAGTGTTTAGTAGATGAAGAAACAATAAGGTGTTGATGCACTTGAACACTTCCTTCCCCATTGCCATTTCTTGTGTGCTTAAATGGAAGCCAACAATGTGGCCTTTGTTTAGGTCAAAAAGCATCCAGACAGGTTCTACAGGCAGCGTAACATTAGATGTTGTGTAATTGTGTGACATCCTTTGATGTAATAAATGATTGAAATAGCTCACTCCATTGTATTATATCTCCTCAAGTGACATAAAAGGTAACACCTCTAATAAATATCAAGATGAACACGTACAGGGTTTGCATCTTTGAAAACTGTCTTCACATCTCAGGGCATTCATTAAGTGACACAATAGCATTCTTTGATTCAATTTTTAATTAAAATACGAATTTATCCACAGATTAAAAATGAAAGGCAGAAAAAGCAAAATGTAGCTACAATCAGGCACCAATGATACATGTTAGTTCATATTTTTAACAATTGCGATAACGCAACAATAACATTATTTACTGATCATTATTTAATATTTATTTATTCAACCGAAGACGGGCGGGCAAAAGCAGCCCACCAAAGACATTCATGGATTCTCCATTATAGATAACTGAGTAATGACCACAGCTGATCCTAACCCCCCCACCCCACCCCGCTTGATACTCCTCTCACTACCTCACAAGAAACTGAAGATTTAAAATAAAAATTGCAAATGTCCACAGGAAAAAACAACACCAATTCAGTCAGAAATCAAGTGTAAGAAGAGAGTGGTATTTAATAGCAGACAAGCTAGCTGTTTGGGTGGAAGTTGGGAGTGATTGACCACACACGCACACACGCACACACACACACACACACACACACCCACGCACACACACACACACACACACACACACACAGGTACTTTTTATATAACCATTAGCCCTGAAAAGACAGACGACGAAGCTGGTGCAAAGAAAAACGACATGAGCTACGTGCTGGAGCGACAGCATGGGCTACGGTGCAGAGTAGCCACGAGACACCAAGAGACACAGATATGCTATGAAAACGAGTGGAACAAGAGTTAAGACATCCCACCGTGGCAGTGGTGGACATGGCTTGGCGAGACATTCCGGCACTTGTGATTGGAGTTTTCTTGAAATAAAGGTGTTTTAGGTTGCGAGTGACTAAGGCAGGACACTTCATTCACACAACTACAACTGCGGTGCTGCTTTGAATCTCCACCACGTTAGAAAAAAAGAAGAAAAAAGAAGACGGAGAACAAACGATTACTGCAGGCGCCCACAAGGAAGAGGAAAACAGAAAAACGGGGGGACTGGGTCAGACGTGGAGTCGGGTACAGTGGCTGAACCAGGTCAGGGAAGAAGTAAACGTCTTTGGAGTGTACTCTTTGTTGTCATCAAGCTTACATGAGTGTAGCAACATCGATAAATCGTTGTGTTAAAATATGGCAACTTCTCCACCAGCTTTTTTTTTTAAGGTTTGGGTGATAAGAATGTGGAGGCGAGACACTCATAACTTCTGGATCTCAGTACGGGAGAAATCCAAGAGCACTGAGTGAGATTAAGGTAAAGAGAAACCCTGACACTGTACATGGGGACGGTGACATTAGACCCTGTTTAAGACTGCAGAGGACAGACGGGACAGACGACGGCTCTACCGGCCTTCGCACTCTACAGCTGAAGGAGAGCTCGAGTCATACAGATCACAATCAGAGATTCACAATCGTAACAATTACTGTCCTCGTGCTGTCAGTATAGAAATCCATGATATTCATGCAGTATTAACAAAAGAAACAAAAAAACAGACCAATAGTATTTTTTCTAAACATAACTAAATTGAATTGCAAGAAGTTGACGAGAATGGCATCTGGCAGATGTTTTTCTTTACATTGTACTGGGATGTAAACAGATTCACTTTGTTAGCCTGACTGGCATGGCCCCAAACCCACACTTCAGTTCCTTCTGAACCCCAAACCTGAACGTCACCCCCCCCCTCCCCCCTCCTCATCTCTCTGTCTGTCTGTCCAGTAGCTTCCTTGCCTCTGTGCTAAGATGCGTGTTCAGCGGATGTAGACGTCCCTCCCCCAGTCGTCCTGGTTCTTGTTGTGGCTCATGTTGGCCCCGGTGTCCACAGGGTCCTGGCAGTAACTCTCCCTCAGCTTGGCGCGTCCGTGCGGCTGCATCTGGCTCGGCATCGTAGGGTGGTTCAGGTTTTCCTGGTCCGGCTCGGCGCCTTCATCTTCCCAGGACGCCTGTCTGCCGTGATGCTGCGCCAGGTGGAGGCGGCTGCCCCCGCCGCCTCGGTATGGCTCGGGCTCTTCGTAGGGGTCAGTCTCAATGTCCATGCAGGAGTCACCAGCCTCGGTGTACGCAGAGTCCCGGCTGCCCTGGGTCTCAGAGTCAAAGGTGTCTTGCCTCGACAGCCCCCGGCCACTTCCTCCCCTTAGCTGGCCACGAGAGGAGCGCAGGTACGCTTGCTGCTGCTGCTGCTGCTGAGATTTCCCCCCCGTGTCTGTCTGATAGTCATGCAGGGTGCCGCTCCCGCCGCACTCTTTCAGAAGCCCTTCCCGCTTCTGCTCACCGTGCACCAGGTACGGCCCCTGCAGCCAGCCACAGCCATGCCACACAGCGACCATGCAGAGACACAAACAGCAGAGCAAAACCAAACTGTCAGTGGTTAGTCAGCGGGGTTAGCACGGGGCAGGGCATACAACACAGAACCACAACATCAGACAGATGTTCCAGCTGCAGGACCTATGGTTTTGAAAAACATTAAGTGTTCATGACTGACAAACATACATGCACGCGCGCACACAGCAATAATTAAACTAGTCAAACAGATCAGTTTTACTAACTGTTTTTAAAATCAGGATACCTACCATCAAACATCAACACATCAGAGAAGTTATTCAACAAGCAGACTCAATCTAATGTTACAACAGTGCCACCTTCTGGCAGATTGACCTCATGGCAGGAAAAAAAAGCAGAAATGTCAATATGACTTTTATATGATTACGTAATTAATTGAACTCTGCAGCATGGGGTGTTTATACTGAAACCATTTTTTACGTAAATCAGGAAATATCAACAGATCCGAAGTGCAATTGGCTCTTAGATTCTTGTTGTTCTCTGACTATTTGAGTTGTCGCCGCTATAATGATCGTCTCAATAAAAAGGACGGTAGAAGGAGATATAAAACATGTTTCCAGCCATTTGGTGCAATATTGTGGCTCGGGTGACATAAAAAGCTTCGACGGTGTGCAACTCATCATAACTGATGTGTAGCCACTAGTAACTTATGAATAGAGACACAGCTGATTAGTACTTTGCTGTTAAAACTATCATAAAAAAAGTTGAAAGTAGACAGAGTGTTAGCAACAGCCTCCACCAAACTAAGCAGTTGTGTTTGAAGAGGCGGACATGACTTGCTGTTTTCAGGGGCAGTACCATGGCAACACGGAGGAGGCTAGCAAACAGGATTCAGCCTCCCAAGAAGAAGAAAAAAGTGCAGGAGAAAGGAGGCCACCGAGCTAAAGAGGGCACGGTGGGGGGGGCGCAGCAGATATCATTTTACTCTCGATTACAGCGAAATGGAGGGGGCCCCAACGGCAGAGGTGCCTTATGGGTTGCTCCTTAAGTCCAGTGTGGTTTGAGTTGAGCTGCTCTCACAGTTTAAACAGTGCAGCGAAGCAAACAGACGACCTAACCTTTCTTGTGGGTGCTCTAAAAGCTAGCTGTTCACGTGTGTCAATGTTGGCTCATTAATGTGTCAGGTGCGCTTGTGTGAATGTGTTTCTATATACAGCATGAACAGGGTTTCAATGCACTTTTCCTTCAGTGTAAAGAGAGCAGGCTGCTGGGTCGAGGTTGAGTTGCCGGAGTTCCCGCCCGCCTTTCTGCTGGACTTCAGAGAGCATGTTCTTCCTCTTTCCCCTCATTGGCTACAGCACTTTCCATGTCAGGCCACATATCCATATTTCTGCGCAGGGAGGTGAGCACCTGTACCTGCAGGTTGGAGACGGGCTCAGGGGAGGCGGCCAGGGCTGCCGTAGCCATGGTGCGGTTGAGCAGCGGGTTGGGAGGGTTGCTGCTCGGGGGGTGTGTCGCCTTCCAGTACGCCTCCAGGTAGTCGGCCAGGTGTTCGCAGGCGTCCTCCAGCTGGTTCTCGTCCAGGATGATGTCAAACAATTCCTGCACATTAGAAAAATGACGATTAGGTGGTTTTACAGAACCAAAATGGATGTGGTTTTTTTCAGAAACTCTACAAAGTTTGAGATCTTTTTATCAGTAAAGTCACAAAGCAGAACTCACAGGTGGGCACTGGGCCAACTTGTCTGCTGCCACCATCTGCACATTTAAGTGTTTAGCCTGGGACTTCCCCCTAGATTTGATCAGCCTCTGGAGGACCTGCAGGGAGACAACAACACTTTGTCTTCTGAAACTATGTTGCATGTAAGGGTAGGTAGGCAATTTGAATCCAGGGAACGCATTACAAATAAATAAATCATCTGTCCTCTGTTGCCATACCTTAGGTGAGGCTATTTTGATATAGACAATGATGGGAGCCAGGGAGGTCTTAGCCAGCTGAGAAGGGTGGTTGATGGTGTCTGCATCCAGAGCGACCAGCTGGAGAGTGCGTGCCAGCTCAAAGATACGCTCAATCTCACTCTGCACCTCCGCTGAAGGCCCGGGACACAGATAAGGCACATAAATACAGCGAGACAGCAAAACGATTGCGTAAACTACCTCTCTCTTTGAGAAGATGCAGCACTGTGTATCAGCCATGAGTACATAACATACATGTTTGTACTTTATCATGCATGATTAAGATTTTAGAAAAAAAGACAAAAAAAACGTATTCAAAAGCGTATGAATTAGATTGTATCACAGTTAAAGTTCCATTTATGCACAGGTAAATGGAGCAGTGCAGCATCCTCGTTCTGTTGCCACCTCCCAACATTTACAATTTCCTGATGTGCGTCTGAGCTTTTTTATTATAAAAGGAGGGAGGCACTTAAGAATGAGATGCCTGTTGCACTTGTAATGAATAATAATAATAATTTCTCACCATGTAAATAAAACCCCTATTAAAACAAATTAGGTGGAACATTAGTTGTTGTTAGCGCTAATAGGCACAGCAGTGATTATTGTTATCAGGTGAACCACTCAAATCTGTGGATTGCTTGGGTGTTTTGTTTTCATTGTTCCTCAACTACAGCCTATAAGAGCTTGTTATTTAGCATTTTGAACTGTCTCTCCGTGTATTTATCAGCCAGTTGATGTGTAAGGAGAGAGATTAAGACCGGAAACCGGACTGTTCCTCGCCTGTCTGGTCAAACCTCAGCGCCTCCGAGCTGTGCGCGCTGAACAACCCAGCGGCAGAGAGAGAGATAAAGGGGGCAAGGCAATCTTTGGACAGACGGGGCCTGCACACATTTCAGCAGCCTCCAGAGGGCTGAGAATTAAAGCTGGAGGCAAAATAAGGAGAGTGCTCTGCAGAGTGATAAGAAACGTGAACTTTAACTCATATAAAAGAAATAGCTTGCAAGGTTTCCATTAACCTCAACAAAGACTTGGACTTTTTGCAAATTTGGATTTGGCTGCAGAGAGAAACTTGCCATGACTAGACAGAGTGCATGAGGCGAGGTCCAGCTTCTGTAAAAGTCTATCCTTGGGAATGATTGCACACATACAGTATATGGATAGCATTATTCGTAAGGTCACAAAAAAAAAATCTCTGCTCATTCGCGCTCATAGTTTAGAGTCCTTTCTTTTTGTGAGAGACTAGCTGTCACACGGAAGCATGAGGAACAGAGAAACTGACAGGCAAGCAGACGAGCAGACAAACGATGTATGAGCAGATGATGAATATAGTGAGGAGAAAAGGGGAGGGTGAAGAAGGAGAGAGGCTTCATTGTTTGGTTGCAAGGAGAGCATACATACCCAGTACGTCTGAATCAATAAAGAGTGGAAGAAGAAGAAGAAGAAGAAGAAGATAGGAGGTGGGAGAGAAGGAAGGATGGGTGGTTGAAGGGCAGAAAAGACAGGATGAAAAAAGAGAGGAGGCCAGATCAGACTATAAAAAGGGGAAAAAAAATACTTCACACTTTCTTTGTATGACCTATCTACATGTTCTCTAACATGGAACTACAGTATGTCAAAAATATATTGTGCAATTCTATATCCAACTATGCCTCTGCCAACCAGTCCTGTTGCAGTTTACATCCATGTCTGTCCATCACTTCATCATTTTGTCCTGTTATTAACAAAATTTGCATTTAAATGTATGAGTTATGGCCCAAAATGTGTTTCAGTTCATCCTTGAGTTCAGGTGGACCTTTGTGTCAAATATGAAGAAATTCCCTCCACCTGAGATATCACCATCACAAGACAACCGGAAAACATAGTTCGTCCAGTCACAGCTGTTGCCGGCGTTGAGGCACAAAAAGCCAGGCAGCCCTCATTACATTCAATTCATTTAGCTAAATCATGTGTTATCACCAGGATTTTAGCTGAGTAAGCCCAAATTACAAAGACATCCACATGCTTGTCGATATTTTCCTTCATGGTCTTAACTCCTGCAGCATCACAAAACACCCTTTTACTGTTTCGCATTTTGTTTTTATGTCTAAATATGTTTTTGTATGTGTGGAATTGCAAATATGTCTACTTTTAATCTGCAAACCAAACTGCTCCTAAAAAAGGACATTAATGAATAGATCTGATCATATTCTATATTTTCCTTAACGTCAACAAATCCCATGTAAAGACCATCTATCTATCTAAACACACAAAGCAATAAAGACATGAAACACAGATAGTGAAACGTATTTAAATGGATGTTTAGCAACATGATGTGATAAAAAAATGCTTTCCATCGGCTTGCTCTTTACTGCTAGATTGTTTTTTTGCTGTCTGTCCAACAACAAAATAAGAGTCATTATTGTCTTAACTGGAGAATAATGGCAGTTTTCTTTGGTTGTGGTTTGAGCGGGGCTGAGGCGGCTGTATGTTGTCTTACCCAGGCTGGAGCGGGTACTCGAGCGCTCAATGATGGTGTGTTTGCTGGGGTTGTTGAGGACTGAACGTTTGGCCAGGGAGATGTCCGCTGTCACCCGTGTGATGGATATCCTGAAACGGATATCCAGTGCACCAGTCGTTACCGGGTTAGAAAACAGAAACCAGTTAAAGCACAGCCTTCAGTGCATAATGGCTGTAAAGAGCAGAGGATATCCTACCTGCCCTCAAACTTGTGTTTCAGAAAGTCAAAGAGTGCTTTCTGCATCATGTCTGTCACCTGAAGACGAAACACCAGGCGTAAGACAACAAACTATGGAAGTGAAATTAGATGCAAAAAAATAGCACAAGTTTTTCTCGTTACCTCATATCCTTTAAGTGAAGGCCCGACTAGGATGATGGGTCTCATGGAGGGAACCACGTCATAGGGGGGAACATGCTCCATCTGGGCCAGAAAGAGACAGCACCAACATTGGGGTGAGTGAAGCAGGCATGTTGTGTCTGACCGTACTCTCAGAACAGTTCCACGAAGCTCACACCGATGTACAGACACGCATAAATCAACCCCAAACCCCTCTCTTCCCCCCCTGTGAGCGGGCAGATTGATGGATGGTGAGTTTCAGACGCCGGAGTCCAGTCGTTTTATTGAAGTCCTATGAATGTTCGGAGAAAGGGATCAATTCCCCACTGAATAGCACTCTATTTCTTGGTCTGCAGTCGCACATAATTAAAGTGTCCATAATTAAACCAGACGCTAGGGTGTCAGCTGCTGCTCTAAAAAAAGGCGTCATACTTCACACTTTTCTCTTTTGTTGTGCATCTGCACTCAAGTTACAGAGCGATTGCCTCCACGTTCCCATTATTTATTGTCTTTGTCCTATTTTCAGAAATCTTTCAGAATGTAAAGAGCCTGTACATACAGTAAGTAGTCTGTGGCTTTTTTTAAGTCATATACGTCAAAAATCACAGAGATTTATATACAACACCCACACACAAACACGACCCATATTTGCTGCTCCTGAACCTCAGGCTTTTTTTGTACATTATGAATCATGAAAGGAATGATTCATCTGTAAGGATTCCATAAGCCGTTGTGCTCTTTAGACACAGCCTGTGTTTCAATTGAGGGGGAAAAAGTCACATGTCCTCTATACCTTGTGAAGATTCAAATTGGATGTATTTTTTTTTTTAGATCCGTATTTCAAGCACGTCCCCTCCTCCGTGCAGCTCTTCAAGCAGGAGTTAGTGCTGGAGTGCCCCGCTCCATTACGTTACATAAAGCAGAGCAACGGAGGATCATTTCACCTCATTTGTATTCACGGAAGCTAAAAATATAGATTTTAAAAGTTTCCAAATGCCTCTTGTGTTATAAAGGGGCAGAGCTGGAGCACCGAACACAACATAAAAGTGCTCATTGGTTTTGAATAACATGAGCACGGTGCACAGCTCAGTGTGGTGAGTAACAGGCAGGATGGTGTACCGAATACAGATCTGGATAATAGTCCAATATTACAGTTTATTGTCCCTCTGTACAATCTGATTCTTCTAAAATACTACAACTACAGCTGCCATGTTTACAGCAAACAAAAGATATTTTATTTCCTAAAAAGGAGCTAAGCTACTTAAAAACTTACAGTATATATTTCTTGGACATTATGTCAGATAAACATGGAGTTTTACATTTTAATATGCGATTACAAATAAGTATCTGGATAATCTTGTAAACATTTTCTCGGTGCAAATTTTGACCATATCCCGTACTACAGTTTATTTTCCCTCGATGGAATCACATTATTACCAAATGCTAATGTTGAGATATTGTTATTCACATTTATCCTGCAGCCTTAACGTGTGATTTAAATTGTGCTGAAAAACCTAAAAACAGCTGATTTGTGGGCTACTGTGACTCAAATTAGCCGTCATGGCAATGAAAGCGTGTCAGGATGAGTTACTGTTACACTCTGACTAACAGGGTCTGGGATGGATCTGCACCTGCACACTGACAGCTGTGATACAAGCTCTGGGGAAATGACAGAGGCGTCACTGTGATTTATAAATGATCCTGTGACTATTTTACACTTTAATGCGTCCTAGGAAGCATTAAACGGTGCTCGAAAAATATTCTGTGGACCGGTTTCTTACAGAGGATGAGGAGTAAGAAGTTGAAATGTTAGGGGTTAGTTTTGAGAACAAACCACACTCACCGACTTCTGTTTCTGTTTAGCTGGGCCACCTACAGTATCATTCCACACAAAAGCCAGAAGAGACAAAAAACAACAACACAAAACACAAGAGCACATTTGGTTATTGACAGGTTAGGGTTAGTGGGGAGAGGAGCTGTTGATTGATTAAAACAGAGTTTACAATGACTGCCACCACTTCATTTTAAAAACAGATCAAAACTCATATGCTGCAGCCGCCATTTCAGAGTGCATCGGTTAGTTCAAGGCCTCTCCCAGCTGACAAGCACAGAAACAAACATTCAAACAAATGTCAGAGTGACCGTCGTGACCGGAGCCTGAGGGGCCAAACAGTGTTAGATTCAGGAACTACAGTAGCGGCAGGGACAGTTCAGTTGTGAGCGGTTAGTGAGCGGGGAAGAGGAGATTAGACCTGAGCACATCTTGGACGAGTAAGGGACAAATGCGGGAGGCAGGCTGGCAAGGTAAGCGAGTTCGTGGGCCCCTAATGTTACCTTCTTAAAGAAGGGCAGTCGGTGGGCGTTGGCCTGAGGGGATGTTACGCTGCCTGACGTGCCCTTGGTGGAGCGAGGGTCACCCTGGGACTCAGGGGGCTCCTCGGCATCCAGGTCGAGTGGGTCAACGTCAAAGGACACGTTGGACATGTCCACGTGAGCTGATGAGGGGTAAGGGCGAGCGGCGCAGAGATAGGAACAGACAAGGAAGAAGAAAAGGAAGGGAAAGACAAGGCAAAGTAAAAGAGGATGAGAGAAGAGGAAATAATAGAAGAGCAAAAGCAAAAGGGGAAGAGTAAATAGAAGTACGAATGTGAGAAGCATCCAGAGAGAGGCATGGAGGACATTGCAAAAGATGACATTTACTGAGATCAAAAGAAGGTGGCATTGTAGGATTTAAACTGGAAACAACATTGACAAGATTTAAAAAAAAAAAAAAAAAAAACACACCAGATTATCATGGAGGACGGCACAGATGTGGGGTATAACAACATGAACAGAGAGTGGGTTCAGTGTGACGAGAAAGCGACAAAACTTGAAGTGTAGATGTGTAAAGGAGGGGCTGCAGAGGAAACTGGAGGAAAGTAGTCGATAGAAAAGAAGGAATCAAGCTGAGAGGAAAGCTGGGGTTTCGAATGAAGTGCTTGTTGGGATTATCGTTGGTGATGCACATGTGGTTGGTATGGAGGGGGGGGTGGGCAGACGAGGCCTGTGGGGGTAAATGGCTTTTCCCTTTCTTACCTGGAGTTGAGAGATGACAAGATTGATACCACTCGGTCTGATATATATGAGGCTACAGCTGGTTGTCTTAGCTTAGCACAAAGATTGAAAACAGTGTCAAACAGGAACAAAATCTGCCTACTGGCACTCCCAAAGCTAATTTATTGATCTCATACATACATACACTTTGGTTTTTCCACTGATTAAACAAGCAAGATGTGGTGTTTTAATCAGTGAGCTTCAGAGGTGCCGATGGGTGGATTTTGTTCCCTTTGAACAGAACCAGGAGTTTTCCCCTGTCCGAGCTAAACTATTAAGACATCGATCATCTAACTCTTTTCCCAGGAGAGAAATAAGGGTGTTTCTCAATATGTCAAACTTTTGCTTTAAAGGGGAACACCACCTACATTAATAATTCCAGTATGTTATTTCCATGGCTGAGGTAAGCGCAATCAACATTTATGAACATGAGCTGCTCTGTCAGTAAGTATCAAACTTGCTTGACATCAAGTATAATGTCTGGAGCTGCTCCATAGACAATGAATGGGAGACTGACTTTGTGGACCCTAAGAATGTACATTTTCTTCTTTGTTTTACCCAAATGAGCTTAATTCTATTGTAGAGTTCTCAGTTGTGGAACTGAAAATGTGCCGATATACACACCATTCAGTGTCATCTATAACATCTTTTTCAACTCATGTTTACCAATATTTGTGGACTGCCTTAGACCATAGGAATAACGTAAATATATGTTTTAAAATTACACTTCAAGTCAGATCAGCCCCTTACTGGAGGGGTGTATTAGACAGATGTGGTTTATATCATACAAGTAGAGTTTAGTGGCTCTATTTGATTAACAAAAAATGTATTTTCCCCATGTTTGCACTTCCATCTCTCCTGCTGTCTCTCTGGATATCGAGAAGCAGCTCTGTGGCCGTCTCGGCAAATGGGCGATGCACACACACTCTCACACACAAGCCAGACATTCTCAGCTCTATTTCAGTCCCGTCCTGTGTGCAAATGACAGACCTAAGACCTCACTCACTTCACGCAGCAACCCACAGCGGCGCGGCGTGATTCATCATCATGCCTGACTAACTAGCCAATTAAAATCTTCATCTAAATATCAGGCCGCCTGTCTCATCTCTTTCACGCTCCGTCAGGATTGCACCAACACCCACAAAAAACACGCAAAAACAGTCACGTTTTTTGCCAGCTGACAGGGAGATCCCCTTGACCTCACCTGTGCCAGGTGGGGTGGGCCGGCGGGTTCCAGTGGCAACGTCCAAACTGGAGCTTCCTCCAGATTTACTGAAATGGGAAAAAACAGATTGTGTGGTGAAAGAAAGACGATAACGGTAGCTTCACAATACTGAGTGCATAGTACTCATCATCTTCATATTTTTATAAGAAAAATACAATTTTAAACTGATTTTACTTATATTTTATGATACAAGTAAGCAATTGTTAGGTTTCCTCCTGCAAGAGGCCACTGATCATCATAGTTTTCAGAAGACAAGGTGGCGTTGTGAGCTTTTCGTAGAGGAAAAACTAATAAATACAAAAAGTGAAAAAAAGCAGTATATTAGGAGCGCTTGCGCTGCAAATTGTATATCAAATCCCTGTTTGAAAAAGCTGAGTTGTCATTTGTGATGCCGATACTGTAGCTGCTGAGGGTTTTTTTCGTGGTTACCTGGAGCTGAGTCGGTTTTGTCTCATCTTCTGCTCCTGCAGCAGACGGGTGTTCTCCAGTTTGACCGGGCTGGGGATGAAGCCCACCTCACAGCCCTCCTTGACCAGACGTCCGATCCACCAGTCATTGTTGTATTTCTGCATACAGACAGGCATCCGTAACCAATGATATACCGGCATTCTACTGCTCACACACGTCAACATTTAACACTATGTGTTGAATAAAAGCATCCAAACATATACAATTAGAAATATTTTCCAGTGCAAATTGAATTGCATTTGATGGCATTAAGGTTTTAGACATAGTTACAAACACTATTTCCATACCATATTTACACTTTTAAAAGCTTTGTTGCTAAAGCCTGAATAGGGTTTTGACAGAAGGAGACAATGCATAAAACATGATCCCTCAGTGGCTTCCCACCCACCATCACTGCCACTTTTGGTCTTCTCCCCCCCAAGACCATCAAATGATTAACCTTTAGAGTTTAGGCTAAATTCATACAAATGTGTACTCTAGACCACCAAAACTGCTCTGGAAATTCATACCTCTTTAATGTGTAAGAAGTCTTTGGCTTCGAAGGATATGGCCATGCCCTGCACAGGAACGTCATCACTGGGACCGGGGTTGTAACCAACATTTGTCCGCACAGCAAATGCCACCGGTTTGGTCTGGAGCAGTGATGGCAAAGACAGATATTAATATTTAAAAAAAAAAAAACACCCAACTCTGAGTATAGTGTCCCCTTGACACTGATGATGATGAGATTATGCATTATAGATGACTATTAAACGAACACTGTGCAAGACGGAGGACATAGCGAAGATAAAGCAGTTGAACTCTGACCTTTGCTTTCTCGAGCGTGGCGAGGGCCTGTCTGTCGGCCTCTTTTCTCAGAGCCTCAGGGTCCTCCTCCAGGGACACGTCTGAGTCCGATGGCCGGCTGGTGTAGGAGTCTGCCGAGCCCTGAAAATGCATTATGAGTTTACATAAAGGTGAGGAGGGGAAAAGGATAACATGGCCATGACTCAACCCTTGAAGGAGCAAAACAGGAGTACACTGAGTGAAATCGCAGGATGACATCAATGAAGTCTGGGCATATGTTTGAATGTCTGCTGTCGACAACTCCTCTTCATCTTTTGGTTTCCTGATGTTCTCCTGCTTCTTTGGCTTGTTTCAAATGGACTTTTCTCATCTTAAGAACAGCTGTGGCTCGGCCATTGCAATGTATTTGTGGTCAAAACGTCAAGACATGCCTTGAGAAGCGTAACCCACATTGACACAAAAAAGGGGCCTCGGCCTTCATATTGCATGAAAGCTGACTGCGTATAAGAGGCCGGCATTTCCACAGCTGCTCCAGTGAGGCCGAGGTGCCGAGTCTTTTTGCAACAGGTACAACAGATTTGGTGTGTGGGTGTGTCAAGTAGGGACAGACAGAAGTAGAGAGAAAAAAGTGGCCTGAGGACTGTTCATAATATTAGGGGGGGGGGGGTATACATTTCTCATGAAGTGGATACAGTTTCCAACACATCCAACACTCATGCACGGTAACTTGACTCTCTGCTGCTGTCCCTCATCCAGACACCCATACCACAATAAAAACCCGAGCCTCCAGTGAGCCTGCGGCGCCGGCATACTGTACCGTTCAGCAGAACAGTACAGTGAGGGAGGCAGCCTGAACATATAAAGTGTTTGAGTGTTCGACTTATGTAACAATCCCACTTATTCTCTTCTTGCTGTATTTTTTTTACTTTCCCACTGACAGGCTGCCTGGCGCTTTGTAGGAGGTGCTGACAAGAATGCGGACAGCTGAATGTGCCAGGCAGAAGAAGTGAGTCACTAGGTGTGGGCTTTTAAAATAGAGGTGAGAATGCACAAAGATGACATACACCATATGTAATGTTGATGAACAATTCCCCTTCACATGCGTAGTCAGACAACACGAGTGCACTCGGTGAGACACAACAGTGACGACAAACGACACACATCTCCGTTTCGATAACAGTAACTTTTCATAGCTTAGTTTGGAATATAAATTAATACAAACACAAAGTATGCCCGCTCATTGCATCAGTAGTAAAGAAAAATCTTAAATAAAACCTTAAACTAGAAAAACAAAAAGGGCCGCTGGTGAAAGGATAGATAAACATTCCTGAGAATCATACCAAACATTTGATGCAATACTAAATCAGTACAGTACTCTTAAGTGCTGAGATTTTGATACCCGGCCCTACTCTGAACTCGTGGCCAACTTGCTGTCATTTGAATCGTTTTGCAAGCAAATGTTTCTTATTTTAAAGATCAAAAGAAATATGAGATGTCCCGGTGGCCTTGTGGTTAAGACACATGTTGTATAACGACAACATCCTTGGTTTGATTTTGGCGAAAGCAAAAAAGGATGTTCTTTTACTTGTCGGCATTCTTTATGAGAAACACCAAGTGGACCTAAAGGTCTAAACATATATCCGGGTATATCCATATAACCTAAATACATCCGGTCATATGTTGAGGAGTGAAGCATCTTTGTGGCGCAGTCTGTGAGCCTTTATGTGTGATTAATGCTCCTCTACACCTCTGATTACCATCCACGCGTCTCTGTATGATTTCCAACGAAACACAAACACAAATGTTGATTCTAGCTCAGCCACCTGTCGTACCGAGGCGCCGCGTGACTTAGCAACAGCACACCAAATGTGGACCCTCCCTGTTGCCAAGGCGATGGCTAGCTGCTACTCCTCGCGTCCTCGGGCATCCTCTAACCATCCCCACTTCCTGTTTCATTTACTCAAACACTCGCGGCGGTGCGCCCCACATCCCACTCAGGTAGGAGGAATAATCCGGTGAGTGGCATGCAGCATCTAATGAGGACAATAACAGCCGCCCCCACTTACCAGCTGTGAGTCATCTTCTAAATCATACAAGTGCATCCCAACACGGAGCACTGACTAAGTGAAGGTTAACAAACCCTGATGGGGAACCCACGGGAATGATTTTAGAGTAAAAAAAAAATTTAAATAAAAACGCCGGAAAGACGTCTGGAACAACCCGAGACCAACTGGCTCACTACAACAGGTCGGTGATGCAGCAAAATGTAGAAAGAGAGAGTGGGAGGGATTACTCTTGGTGTGTGTGTGTGTAAGTCTGTCTCATCCAGTTGATTCACGTCACACACAACCAGAGGAAAAAAACACAGTCAGGGAAGGAAGAGACCGAAGAAGGATTGATGGATTCATGCGCACAGACACAATCGTCAATATTTCATATTAAAAAAAAAAAGGTGCATGTGAACAAGGGGAGTTACTGATCAATAACCTCTCTGCACCCTTCCTCTCCTGAAACCCTTTCGGAACATGTTGATAGACTGAGCGAGCCACTGAACACATTTCCTCCACCTTTTCTTTCTGACACCCTCCTTCCTTCCCTCTCTTCTTATTCTCCCCTCATGTCATTGGGTTGTGTCTCTAATTTAGCTGCTTGCTTCACTTCACATACAGCTCTTGTTCAAAATAGCTACAGGCCACCTGATGGCGGAGCTTCCTTCCTATTGGCAGTGCCAGACTAGAGACCCCATAGCAGTGTCATAGTAACCATCTCTGCAGCTTAATCCAGGCAGCCCGTGAGAGCTGCGTCTGGAAGGAGATGGAGAGAAGATATAGGAACAAAATAGTGAATAAAATACCATGAAGGGAAATCGACGTCGGGGATAAAAGCTTTTCAACAGGTGATCAATGATTTTCTCACGTAGTGTGAGTTACAGCTGTGAGCTCACAGCCTGGAGGATAACACAGCAGTAACTACATCAAACAAAACAGTATGGCCTTTGGGGAGTTGTTTTCCCAAAGGGAAATATCCATGTTTAACAAGACTACCAAACTGAAACGTTTCTATCTATATAGTTGGTAAAATCCAAACTATGCTGCATTGTCACAGACCACAGAAGGACAAGAAAGGGTAAAACACAAGACAGGTGCAGGAGGTGAAGCTCAGTAATCATCTCGAAAATTAACCGACTGTGCTTCCTCTCCATTTTCTGCACGGTGGCTGCCACTGTGATGAATTTGCACCTCCTTAGCATTTGATATTGGATAAATGGACGGAGGAAAAAAGAGAGCAACAGAGCGGAGAGGGGGAGTAATGGAATAAGGAGGAGGGCGGGCCAGCAAGAGAGAAGTGCTTTGAATAATGGGTGTTAAGAAAAGAGTCACCCTGCAGAAGGGAAATTAGTTAACATTGTTTCTTCTGATGCAATGGCACCAATGGTTTCAAGAAAAAGGGGAAATTTAAAAAAAAAAGGGAGTTGGATTAAGTAAAACGTTACATACAGCGGCATAGAAATTATCATGGAAATACTGAAGCAGCATGACACGTTTCCCCCTCTTTAAGATCGTTATAAAACAGAAGGAAATGATCACCTCCGTGTCTTCCTGTTCTTATCACAGATAACAGGTCAGAGGTCAAAGATTTTAATATGCTGCTGATAAACAACAGAGAAGTGATAACCATCTGAGAGCTAATGCACACTGCGAACCCCTCATTAACAAGATAAAAAACACATTCATACTCATCAGCTCAGATAATGTGACACAAATAAAGACAATTAAATATAATTGTCTTTATTTGCTTTATCGCCGAGTCTCCTCATGCCCAAAGTCGAATATTTCAGAGAAGAACAACATCTCATCTCAAACAATTGAGGGCTAAAAAATGTGAGATTATTTCAGCAAAGACAAGAGCAGGAAAAGAAAATTAGAATAAATGGGGACGAAAAGGGGAAATACGTCTCGCAAAACCGGCAGACGGAGGCTACAAACTGAGGAATCACAAAGGACAGATGTCCAGTCAGACGCTAAAGGCTGTAAATGGTCATCCTCCTTTTATCCGTCACAGCAGAGTCATGGCAACCAGCTGGACAGTGTGGAGATGACAAAAAAGACGACTTAGGGGCTGAATTCACCGGAAATCCCCATTTTCACAAACAAGCAAAAGAGAGACCAATAACAAGTTGCTCCTTATGGATTATTTTCTGTCAATCTCTCTAAATTCAAAACATAATTGCGCAAGGAAATTAGGGCTCGGAGACATGCTTGATATCACAATTCTTTGTTTTTCAGGCGTCAAATAAGTCATGATTAGGGCTGCATAGTTAGAAATATTTTGATATTACTGCCAACATAACACCTAAGTTTATTGATGCTAATTTCCCAATACCAATAATTTTTCTACAGAGCTACTTTTTCATTGAGTAAAATACGGCAACATTCTCAATGCATGTGTAATTGTATGTTGTGTTAACACAAGGAGCTTTAAAATAACATTGCCTCAAAAAACTTGTTGGTGGATACTCAAAAAGTAGTAAGGTTCAAAACCACACCTCACCACGCAACATCTTATATGAAGCAGAGCTAAAATAATTAGTCAATCAGCTGTAAATCATATATTTTACCTTTTAAGCACAATTGCCAAAAAGCTGTGGTTCCATATTTGACAGATTTATTGATAATGAAACCATTATTAAGTTAAAAGTTGCAGCCATAATATGAAATGATAATCAATGGAGCAAACTGCGTTCAACTGTTATGTATTAAATCAAATAACAATAATTTTGTTTCATTTCACAACAGCGCGTGATAAACAATCATCACGATACAATTCCAATGAAAATGAAATTGGATTCGCCCTAAATGCAATAATTGCAAAAAAATAATGGGAAGCCAACAACAAAAAAATGTATCATTGTAAGGCAAACACAGCCACGTTCACTAAGAAGATCAATGAAGATCCAGCCGAGGCCCCTTTGGGACAGGGGGACAGCGGTGAAAGAAGCCCCCCTGAAATGGCCACAGTGCTGGGACAGCCGGGCAGGCAGTGCACATAGCAGCAGAGGCAACCGGTGGGACTGGAAGTCTAATTAAAAACACAGCGCCTTTCCAGCAGCTGTGGGCCGGCCCAAAATGGAAATCACACTGAGGAGAGAGCAAAGAAAGACGCTGTCAGGACACGGGCGGCAAGTTGTATTCTCCCGTCGTATCTCAGAGCAAAAGTGTCTGCTGAACTTTCAAAACTCGATCCAGATCCACAAGCTCACAGAGAAACTCACACACAAACCGCCTCCAGTTCAGTCAGACGCAGCGAAAAAGCTTATCCAGATCCTTCTTACCATGACGGGCCTTTGAATCCTCTCAGTCCTCTCCATACCTCGTTTGCCACGCTCGCCACACCAAGGCAAACCAAGGGGGCAACGCCGGAGTCCACAGACAGAGTTATGTGTGTATGTGTGTGTGTGTGTGTGTGTGTGAGATAGGAGAGAGAGCCAGAAAAGAGTGCCGTATGTGTGAGAGTAGGAGAGCGCTCTCTTAACCTCCAACCCCTTCACACACAGACACACACGCACACACACACACCCCCACCTTCACAACCCAGAGGAACGTGAACCTTGTGTAGAGGAAGGGAGCTGAAGCTGACTGGGGGTCGGGTTGCAGGACTTGTGCTACATTTGCAAACTGGGGAAATATATTTAGCCCCGGCCGGGGCAGGAACAGGGACATGAACGCACCGAGACCCAGAAGGAGGCTTGGTATGCAGCCGTCAGCCATTCAATGGCCTGACTGACGTGGGAGAGGGCTGGGGCAGTGCCCAGGGAAACCCCCCCCTCCCTTCTCTCTCTCTCTGCTTCATTCCTCCCAGCCTCTGAACCGACATCATTCTTCCCAGCCCCTCTCTCTGTCTCTCTCCCGTAAAAAGGGTATCAGAGGAGGGATTAGGGTTAGATGTTGGCCCTGATCACCCAATTTGATTCGCTTCTTGATGATTCGGTTACATCAGATACCAATGTTGCATGAACGGCTTCTCAGAATTTCAACGTGTCGGGTCAGTTGTATTTATAAGAGGCATTACAATCAGTACAACATAGGAGACCCCCTGTCCCTTGAATTCAAACAAGCGTTAAGTGCACATCACCGGCTTAATTGTAAACAATTCCTGGTTAAAAAACTACGGACCAAGGACTCATTTTCTTTAGCAAATGTAAGACATCTAAAACATGGCATATCTATATTTTGTATGCCCACGTGTCAGCACAAGAGGGCAGAACCTGAAAGTCTGTTTACTAATTAATTTGCATCATTCGTGTTGTGATCGCTACTAGCGTTAGCTTCCCACCTTTTTGAATAACTTGATTTCCACAAAGTAGACATTTTACACATCACGCAGCCCTAACTGACCCACAACCCCTGTCAACACATAACATCTAGCGTAGATGTAGACATTTTTACACAAATGCAAAGATCGATCTCAGGATTATAAGAATCCATATTGCATCATTCAAATAAAAAACGTAATTAATCAGATTTATTTTTTAATTCAGCCCTAAAAGGGATTATTAGGTGTACATATGTACCAATTAGGTGTTGCGTACCATTTATTTCCTGTGTACTGACTGCAAAAAGTGTATACTCTGAAAATGAGCATACTGTGTGGACTTAGCACAAATAAAAAAGGCAAAAGGAGGGAGGTCTACTGGCAAATAGGTGTGTTTGGAGGGGTAGTGTGTCCACTAGAGGGCGAACTCCGACACAATGCTCCAAAGCCACACACCTGACCTCCTCCTCCTCCTCTTTTGTGTGATGACAACACAACCAGCTGGGGAAGGTGAATAAATGGAGAGCTGCCAGCAGACCCACCAGTTATAAAGTCCTTGTGCGTTCAAACACAGCAGCAACTGGGGCCTCCGCTGGGATTCATATGTCAGAAGTGACAGGAGGACAGCTTGTCTCTTTGCAGCATCTAGACCCTCGAAACCTTTCACATATGCCAGCTAAATCAAGACACAATCTGGTCTACGGAGCAATGGGGGGGGGGGGATGTTTGATGGGTAATATATCTCGTCACTGCTATAGTGCATGAGAGTGTTAAGAGTCTTAAAACAAGCATTTGAGTTGTACAATTTCTAAAATGCGTTTTTATTAAATAAATGTATTAAATATGTGTAAAAAAGTTTGTGTTTTACATAAGAATGAAAACACCTTGTAAATAACACCACTTTGTATCTATTTTATACCTTTTTAACTTGAGAGACGGGGAACAACAAAGATCTCCAGACTGATTTCAATTCGGGGCACCTTTCACGGATTTACTTTGCAAGCTGCTTACACGGAGACCGAAAACGGCGTCAGCATCCTGCTTTGAAAATGATTGCCTCTCGCAAATTGCGGTTACATTTCCAGGGACTCTTGCATGTAATGCATGGGTTGCAAGCATGGCAAACGTGTTCAAAGTAATGCAAGAGCAAATGATCTCCTGTTGCAGATAGCAGGTTGACTGTTGCAAATTTAGGGAAAAGGGGCATAAGGGGCATTGCAGATTATGGCTGGCTCCTTAATCTCTGGGACAATAATTGTACAAACGGGTTTTAATTGATTAACAGATTTAATATGAGCTGTTGTTTGCTGCATGCCAATTTAGAGGCTCAATCGTCCACATTTTAGAGTAGAGCCTCCAAGATTCCACCACACATTCAATTCATGAAATATACAAAGCCAGAGATAGAAAGGAAAACACTAAAGGTATTTTGCAGACATATCTGAGGCATTTGACACAGTTAACCATCATATTCTTCTTCAGAAGCTTTCACATCTCTGAATAAGAAACAATGCACTGCTCAGACTCACCAGATAGACAGCAGTTGGTATCGTATAATGGAGCCAACAGACCCTTCACTAAGCCCCGCCCCCTGCTGCTCCTCCATCAAGCTGTCAGAGCTACCATTGAGCCCACACGGTCACTTACTGCACTCCCAAAACCAGGGAGAAGCAGACATAAGGGTCTATAATATGCATTTGAAAGATATATCCAGAATGTCAAACTGATTCAGCAGTGAAAACCGGTACAAAATAAAAATAAAGAACCACTAAAAGTGAACCACCATATCACCTGGCAATCGAGAGAGTAAAACATTTTTTTGGTCTTAAATTAGGGATTTTTTAACTCCTTGTATAAAAAAAGTAATGGATACCATCCCCATGAGTAATTTGCGTACTACACGTTGTCTTGGTATTCTGCTTGATGTATCCTTATCTTGGAAACCTCATATCAGGGCCATAACCACAAAGTGGCCAAGACTATTAGCATACTAGACAAATCACGTCCCTTGATCAACACTGAGGTAGCTCTTATTCTATGTTATTTAATGGTTTGTCTGTATATCAATTATTGTAATACAGCTTGTGCCAACTACCCAATCACACCAAACTTGAGCCCGTATACCATTTTCAGAAACGAGCACCAAGAACAAGTTGTTTTGTACGTCGTACATTTTCTGCTCATCTTTCCTGTCTTATGGAAACTCTTACACCATATCACACGAGTGCATGTTCTCAGTTTGTTAACGACAGTGAGTTATGAATGAGTCTTCCTGATATGTGTGTTATAACTGAGTGATGCAGTGTATTTGTGTAACAGATGGGTGTTTATGGGATGCATTACTTTGCTAAACTATGTCTGTTTTTACTATGTCTACAATTATTGATAGATACATATCAATTGTCTATGTTACATTACTGTTATAAGTGCCAATTTTCAAGCCCCTGGAGGGTTTTTAGGAAATTCAATGTTGCAAATTATATATTGTATCATTTTTTTATTATTTTTCGGGCAAGATACTGAACCCCCCAATTGCTGCTAAAAGCTGTGACATCGTTGTGCGAGTGTGTGTGAATGATTGGATTAGATCCCGACGAGCAGTCGGCACCTTGTATGGCAGCCTCTACCATTATTGTTTACTGTACAAATGGGTGAATGTTGACATGTGTGAAGCGCTTTGAGTGGTTGGAAGAAAGGTGCTGTATAAATGCAATTTATAAGATGGCAAATATTTAAAATTTGCAGTAAAAATCTTTTTTTCCCCCCACATACTCAACAGCAGCATACATGGTATTTATACACGGTACCTATTGTACGCAGCGTGTAGCAGACAGTCTCTGACGGAAGACGTGTTTTTGTTGAACTCAACACACAAACCAGCACTGCACAAACATGTAGGCTGCACCCACACACACACACACACACACCCACACTAACACAAAACCCCATCTAAACATCCTCTCCTTCGTCTCTCCATCCCACTGTGCCTGCACACAGAGGGAGATTCAGTGGCCAGGTTGCCATGGAAACCAGGCCGAGTGTACCAGCCAGCTCTACCGTTGGCTGATTGTGGCTCTCGTGTATTTCTGTGTGTGTGTGTGTGTGTGTGTGTGTGTGTGTGTGTGTGTGTGTGTGTGTGTGTGTGGTGAATGAGCCTGCTCTTGCGTAGGTGTGTGTGAGACTGTAAAGCCTATACAGGGCTCTGCTTTGCGTTGTTCAAGGGGGAGACTAAAAAAGGCTGTATGACCAAAACCTATAGAGCGCCTGTGTGCTTCTTTTTGTCTGATTGAAGCCAGTTTTTTTTAAATCTTAACATGGTTTGAGAAATTGCATCACGTAACACTTCTAAATCAATTTTTGGTTCATGTGCAGCATTTCAACTGTTTAAAATGCCAGCTCCTTCCACTGCTGCACCTCGACGAGGGAAATGCTGCGCAACAGCACGAGACAGGAGAGGACATCTATCTGAGGACGCAGGTAATGAGTTCCTTACACAGTGCGAGTGATTATGAATCCCGCCTAACCTGCAGGCCCCCAGTTCACGTGGTCCTTCAGCAAAAGAGACTCGCAGAGTTAATGAAGGACAAGGCAGTGGGAAGGGTGATGCGTATAGGCGAGGATGCAGCTGACCTTTAGAAACCACAGGAGAGTTCAACTCCGTGTTCACCAACACCGAGCGGATTTTCCTTTTTCTTTTTCTTTTTTTTGTCTAAAGCAAACCCATACTGAAAAGGTAAATGTCATTCAGCAAAGGGGCAAATCATTTCCTCTCCCAAATGAAGAGTTCAGACAGAGGGACTCATTTACCTGCCACACAGCGTGGCTTTGAGAAATGTCATGTCCACACCGGACTGCGGCGCGGGGTCGCGGGCGTGCGATGCTTTAACCCGATGCTTTAACCCCTGAAACTCCCAGAGAAGAGGAAGTGTTCCTGTCTGACCAAGAGAGTCTTCTTGACCAATTCTTAGCCAAAACATTACACTGGACAACTGGCTACTACGACTTTGTAGCTCTTTCTGACAGAGCCAATGGGATGCATCTACACCGACAGACCAGGGGGGAGGCAGGGTCAGGGGGTAGTAGTGTGGGGCTGAGTGTTAGACCTGGGGACTAATAATTACCATCAGTCTCTGGAGGAATCTCTGCTGCACGTCTCTCAGCTCCAACTCTGTGACAATAAAGCAAGCCGTGTAGCTGTAGTCACAGGGGTTTTACTGTTGTTACCAGGGATGCTATTAAAGCCATTTAAGTGTGTGAGATACAGTACAATATGCGGGCTGCCTGTGACAAACACACAGGTGAAGAGAGAGAAAGATACGCCTTTCAAGAAAAGAAGTTTTACTCTTTTTAAAAAGGTGCAGAAAGTTTATTTTTTTATAAAGATTATACTTATTTGTTAAGCCTCCTGTGTGCTTCTGACTGCATTACACTCAGAACATAAACCTCATATTGTGACTGGCTCATGGAATTTTTGCGAGATAAATGAATCAATTATCAATGTGATTACTTTTATTTTTGATCTACTAATCGATCAATTATCTAATCGTTTCAACTAATGTAAAAGTTGGATTTGAGAGAGGAATTAAAAGTCATAAATAATGATTAAACTACTATATCTATTTGGAGCCGCTTAATCCCCAGCATTGAAAGACCTCACTTTGACTCCATTAAACTTTCGTATGACTCTTCATTAAATAAAATGAAGCCGCGCCTCAGTCGAGCACCTGGATTAGTGGTCTGGAGGAAGGATTAAGCGTGAAATGTTACCTGTCGGACAAAGCTGTTGGAGGTGGTGTCAGAGGAGGTGCTTCCATCTGAGCGCTTGAATCGGCTCTTCCTCTTGCCGTACTTTCCCTGCAAACGAAGAGGTTGGAGGGCAAGGGAGAGGAGAAGTTGGAAAGAAAGAGAAAAACCACAAAAAGTTTAATTGAGTTGCTCCATAATAACTTAAACCTCGGGGGAAGAGCATGACAGCAGTTAACATTCAGCATAGCATTTGTAAAAGCTTCTGAATATGATCAGGCAGTCAGATGGAACCAGAGATCCAGCAGCACGAGTCCCAGACTGAGGAGGAAGTCGGCCAGAGTAAAATGTGTCCATGAGCAGCCTTCGTTACTGGTCGTCATCGTGTTCTGATGCAAACTGGGACCTTTGTAATCTGATTGGCAGACCCCGAGCAAATGGCCTATCTGGGTTGGGCAGAGGCCACACATCGCATTATGAGACCGCCCTGGTTATACATTGCCATGGTTATACACAATGCCGACTAATCACATTTGTAGGAGGCTCATCAGGATGCTGACTGCGTTGTTCTTTCAGCATTCAAAAAAGAAGAGAATCTGCTGAGATAAAGCTTAGAAATAAAGATCCAACATTAACATACAGAACGTGGCCCTGCAATAGTCTGGGCCCTGTGACAATCTGGCGACCTGTCCAAGGGTGTACTTCGCACAATGTTAGCTGGGATCGGTTTGTCCACGACTGTTCACACACACACACACTTGCTTTTGGTAAACCAACCAACCCCCAATACTCTAACCTGCACACACATCCTGTCCACCTTTGTAAACATTGAATATTACCGAGCAGCTGCTTCAAACCCTGTCCACGTGTCCGTGTTGTTCTCGGATCAACAGGAAAGATCCAGTGACGGGTTAACATCTCGCCAACAGTGATCCCTCCTCGACCAAGTATTTCGTCATCTCTTTCACATCATGTGCGACAGGACTGACCGAGGCCCTGAGATGACTGAGGCCGCCCTGCCTGCCTTTAAACAAGCATTACCTATCACAGATTTTTTTTAAAAAAACACTGCTGGCCGAGAGGTTTCCAGTGGTAACAGATAAAAAGAAAAATCAATTTTGAGCTCAGGAGTTTGTATGAATATATTTGAAACCTCCTGTAGCGCAAAAAATTAAATATCTAGCCCTGTGACGCCATGCTTGATTTACTGCTGCTGATGAACAGGATGATCACACAGCAGCAAACCAACTGTGAAATACCCAACAACTACTGTGTCGCAAACTTCTGCAAGTTACTGGCTTTTAATGTTGAACTCGAGGCGATGACGCATGTGAAAAGATGTCACTGGGCAACTGTGCTAGGGGGTTCGGTGCAACTGATACTAAATAGATGACATCACTGCTGGCAAAGGTTTCCCCAACACTGCAAAGTAACTTTGCACAACGGTTCGTACGAAAAGTTATTCCGCATTATTCATGCTTTCTCCAACAAATGTCGAGCAACACGTGTTAAATTCAACTCCTTTCATGCGTACAGTCTTTTCAAAATAAAAACCTTTCTATGGTTTACAGTAACATTTTTTTTTTCGACCACACATATCAGGGTATACTTTCAACGTAATGACAACTGATCACAGGCTTTTGCTTTTACACCTGGAATACATAGCGAGGGATGCACCAATACGACTTTTTTCTGTTACGATACCGTTACCTGGGCTTTGGGTATCGACCGGTACCAAGTACCGATCCGCTACAATACTTCATTACAAAGCTCTATGCCTCACTGTGTGCAAGTTTCATGTCTAAGGCAGCGCCAGGTTTAAACGTAAACATTGCTTTAACTTTGCAACACAATGTAACTAAATACATAGATATAAATGTACTGAATTAGTATTTGTTAAAATAATGGTATCCGGTACCAGATCTGCCTATCACCGATAAAACAATAGTCACATATCTGTATGCACTGTACCAGTACTGGGCAGAGAACAAGGACAAAAGACAGAGTCAGCTTAAGTCTTAAAAAAACACACCAAACGTTCACCCTGGGAACGTGAGGGGAAGAGATCTCCTTCCTCTCAGTATATCCCAAACCAAATACACTCTCCTGATTGTCCTTTATTCGCCCATGATGAGGAGATCAGCTCCAGGTGTGCAGGCTTCCCATACCTGCTCTCAATGCTGTCATATGTGAGTGGGTGAAGCCACCTGTCAGGAATGTAGATGCCTCCAATCACCCCGCCCCTCAGCCCCGTATAGTACATTAAAACTGTTTTGTTGCTCAATGTAATCCTTCCTTCTGTTCATACTGGCCATCAATAGATCCCCTCCTTATGTTCTCTCAATGTAAGTGATGGGGAACAAAACCTGACAAATGTTTTAAGACAGACTTGAACAATAGTAAATATACATACTTTAAGAATGTAGCCAATATGTAAAGATCACATTGACACCCGGCTAAGATCGGACCACAGGTGAACCAGACCTCCTCCAGATGTCGACAGGCCAATCCAATCACATTCTGATTGCCATCCATTCTGCACTTGCATTAACATGTGTTTCACCTCATCCAGATAGGATATCCATACAAATCTCTGGTGTACATGTCTTACTCACCATCCTAATTGCTAAGATCTGAGGGAGCAACATGACCACGCAATCAAACGGGTTGTAAACAGGCAGGCTGCACCAAACAGCTGTGAAGGTAACAGGAAAGACTATGAGCCTGAACAAGCAGGCAGCCATGAAACAAGCAACAAAAATCGTCGCAGACTCTCAACATCCTCTATTTTCCTCTGCAATCAGGAAGAAGACTCCGTGTGCCAAAGTGTAAAAGCAGCCGCTTGATGCTATCGTTAGTTCAAGCCTCCATCAAGATGCTTAACTCCAATAAATCCTGTCAGTAAATACACAGGCACTTAAGCACTTTACTCTGCCGTGATGTAAAATGTCTCTTACGTTTATGTTTTAGGATGATTTAAAACAGAATTTAGCAATGTCCCCTATCCATCTATCAAAACAAATTCTCATTTCAGTTATATAGTCTGAACCACATTCATAAGAGCTAAACAAAGACGAAAATTAAGGAATTTAGCTCCAAGTTGAACCAGTAAGTAACTCTGCGAAGCCTGAATGTCGACAATAGACAGTTTAAGTAATCAATTGTATGTACACCTTCCTTTTCATTTGCTAATATGTGACTTGGATAACATGATCAGACTGTGGATGTTTGCTCTGCTTGAGCTGTTGCTGTGCCACCAGGTATCTCAGCAGTTAGACCGGCAAATAAAATGGCATCATAAATGATGAGAGACCACAGCTAAATGACTAAAATAAGACCTGTGTTGTTACAAACATTTTTTTTTATAGGATGTTCAGGTGATAGTGGTGGGGGCAAACGTATACTCTGCTGTTCACAAGTTCACAATTACATTAAACATCAAGTGTGTGTGTGTGTGTGTGTGCGTGAGTTTTTAGCGGTCTCTACCATCGGAGCCATGATGTGGCGAGATCCTGTCAGCAAAGGGTAGAGAAATGCCAGAGGAAGTAGGGAGGGAAGGCTTCCTGTTGGTAAAGATCCTCCCTGATTAACTGTATAATTAAAAAGGATGTTGTGTGTGTGTGTGTGTGTGTGTGTGTGTGTGTGTGTGTGTGTGTGTGTGTGTGAGGAGGGGGCTCTAAACTAGAAAGCAGGGAGCGTGATGGGGTGCACGATACGACGACTGTAAAATGTAAACCATATCACAATCATTCACCCAGAGCGCTCCATACATTCTGCTGAGGGAGATCAACACTGATCTGCAATCTGACGGCGGTCAACAGGCACCATCTCTAGTCTGAGCGACCCTCGGGCAGAATTTGGATCAGTTCTTCAGTCTTCTCCAGGATATTAGAAATGCGGTTCCCTGCTTGTCTCTCCACGGCAGAGTTATAAATACATATACCAGCATGACCTGCTGCAGGTCTGCATGAACTTTATATCTAATTGATCAGAGGTGTCACACACACACCGTTCCCCGCTGCCTGGCACAAAGAGGGGGGTCCATCTGTTTCTCACCACAGCCTCGCAGCAGATAAAAATATGATTTCTAAAAACAGATAGGAGGAGGTGAGATGGTGAGAGCAGGATGGAGATGGTGGGACATTCAAAGTGGATGCAGAGGGAATCTGGAGAGCTGGGAAGAGAGAGAAGCTTGGGAGGAGTGGGAGTAAAAAGGAGAGAGCAGGATTTGGCATTGTTTGAAGCGTTGGTTGTCTATGACAGGGTGTTTCTTTTCTTTCTCTTTTTTTTCCTTCTCCAGAGAGACAATGACTGAGCTCAGTGTGGGTGTGTTGTTCTTTTTTCATTCCATTTAAACTGTTATGACTAAACATGCCCACAACATCATGCCACTTCCTAACAGCCACAGCCTATTTGTAACTGGAAAAATAGTGTCACCAAGGAAAGTTTATGGATCAAATTGTACATAAAGGAGGAGGGGGGGAATAAATCACTTCACCAAATTTAATTTTTGAGGGTGGATTAGGGCGTTAAAGAATATATTTCCTCCAGATTGAAGAACAGATCTGATGTCAGATGCAAGACTCAAAAACCAAAAACAAATGAATTACTTTCCTGTAAGGTTTGAAGACTTTGCCTCATATTCTTTCGTGATTCCTGCAAATTTAAATAAAATCATCTCTCCTCCAGCTAGAAACGTCAACATTTAGTGTATCATCTACTTGGTTAATTAATGATTAATTAAACAAAGGCGTGGTTTTCGTAAGGACTCAATGAGGGACAGCAAAAAAAATAAAAAATACAAGCGTTACATCATATCCTCGCATACGGTTACACATATGGAGACTTATTAATACCAACACTACATGAGGCTGAGGGCGGAATTATAAAATCTAAAGAACATGAAAACTACAGCCTATCATCCATTTTTGATTCCTCTTTAAGAGGAGGAAGAAATCAGATACAATCCAGGCTTGAATCAGTGCAGCGTTCAGACCCACTAAGGCAAATGAGGCGA